AAGGTGATGTCTCCCCTCCAATAAAAATAGGGACATCACACACAAAACACCGAAGACTAGAAACCTGGGTCCTAGCCCCATGACCAAAGTGACTTTTTGCAGAAACTGGCTTTACCCAAGATGTGTGAATATGTGCGAGCAGGTGAATAGTGATTACTACTGAGGTCTTTAGTTTTTTAGAGATCAGAGATTATTTATATTAGCCCTTCAGGTGAAAGCCAGATTGTTTATTGATCAGTTTCAGTCAGAAGGGAGCAGTAATGTGATTCCTGTGATCCCAGCTTTATCTTAGATATTATCATGAAACACTCAGATCCTCAGCATGGATTTTGTTGGTTCTTTTGATGTTTGGAAGCAGTTCTAAATTTCTTGGGGAAATGATGCCTTCCTATAGGAAATGTAGAATATGCAACTGTTGTAAGTAGTTGTACTTAGTGGATTTGGTTATTAGGTAACACAATTGTTTCTGGCAGCCGTCGCTTTGTTGTAAGAAAATCTGGAAGGATGGGAACATGTGGATAATGGAAGATAGTACAGAATTATATAAAACAGCTCAAAAACTAGGTTCAGCCTGAGGTCACATGCAATAAGCAGCAATTCTTGAATGGCATGGTCCTAAGCAGCTGGGGAGAGATGTTTCTTTAATTCAAGGGGAGTGGGAAAATCACAGGAATTCAATGAAGTATGAATGGATCCATGGCCCTAATTCTGATCACAACAAACCTGCAATATAGGTCTTGATTATTCCCATTTCACAGAAGGAGACCTGGGCCTGAGAGATAGTGATTTGCTAGCGAGAATTCAGCAGGGGCTGCATCCAGCACAACTTTCTGTCTGCTGCATCACAATGGCTCTTGATCATGAGATCGTAGGGATGGGACAGTTTGTAAATTTGAGATTCTCTCCATTTCTCATCCCTTCCAATCTAAAGTGGAGGTCTCTACATTTCTGCCTTTTTCTTCCTTTTTTCCAAAAGGTCCTCATGAAAATTCACTGGCACTTTAGTGTGTACAGTGGTACCTCTGGTTACAAACTTAATTTGTTCCGGAGGTCCGTTCTTAACCTGAAACTGTTCTTAACCTGAGGTACCACTTTAGCTAATGGGGCCTCCCACTGCCACCGTCGTGTGATTTCTGTTCTCATCCTGAGGTAAAGTTCTTAACCCAAGATACTACTTCAGGGTTAGCAGAGTCTGTAACCCGTAGTGTTTGTAACCCGTGGTGTTTGTAACCCAAGGTCCCACAGTGATAAGAAAACAAGAGTTGCTATGTTGTCGGGAGAGGTCACTTTGTGGTTTGCATGGAGAAGCCATTTTCAACAGAGCCCAGTGATGGAACCATGCATCCGTATTGAGGCAGCACTGGCTGTTGAAATTTTGTGCCCCTAACAATTTCGTGCCTGGAGTGACTGCCCCTGTGGCCCACCTGCACCGCTCTGCAGTGTTGCCTAACACACATTTTTTGCAAAGCAATTTCCTCTGTGTAATGCATTTTCCTATGTTACTTTCGCTAATATATGCACTTTTATGTGGAATTTACCACAGTATATGCATTTTTGTATGCACGACTTGGCTAGAGAACTGCACTGCAAGACATGGAGAAATGCAAATTCTGAAAGAGGCCTGTGTTTCAGTTCATGCATTGTTTTGGAAAGTCTGAATCAGGGAGGTTCAACTTTAAATGCAAGCTAAGGGGTTAATCCTATAACAAGCTTCATGGAGATGAGCAATCTAGAATGTAGTGGATCACTGGCTCAGGCAGTTGATTCAGGCTGGGCCATGCTGGGCTAGTGTTAAGTCTCCAACCTCAGCTCAGCTGAAGATACGCTGGCATAACTTGCTCATCCCAGGTCAGTGGAGCTTCATGAAACTGAGCTGAAGCTGGCTGAACCGAGGCTGGTATAAGTCCCACCCACACCCCAGGATATTTTTGGAGCATGGCAGGGACAGGATCAGAGCTGGAAGGGACTTAGGTTGGATCCTAAGCCTGTTCATCTTGGTCACATGATGTGGCAACCCAGCAAATTCCACTATTTGATAGGCTTCTTCCTCCTCTGCCAGGTTTAGGTAGGGTTGCCATATGTCAAAAACTGAAAATCCGGACACAAAAGTTGTTGAACTTTTTTTGGGCAAAGTTGTTTATCTTTTTTTGAGCTTTTCCCCCCAGCTATTTTTTTACAAAATTTGCCAAAATCTACACTTCTAACATGAGTTGACATACGTCCTGGACATTTCAATGATTTCCCTCTGGACACTGCTTACGACAGTGGGATCCCAGCTATGAAATTTCGGACATAAGGCAACCCTAGTTTAGGCAGAGAAGCAGTGGAAGCCCCACTGCTGATTGGGGTTTGAATTTCATGTAATTTTACACGGGCATGATTTACAGCTTCTTGTGCATAAGATTGCTCCTTAAAGAGATTTTCTTCCACACCCCCAGTTCATGGAAGGGGAATTGTCTGTGGCTCGTCTCTTGAGTCATATGGCATTATTATTCTTCAGCCCTGAACACAACGAGAAGCTTCAAGAAATAGGAAACCACACATTATGCATGTGATTTTAAACCAAATTGTTAGATCAATTTGTAAACTACTTTAGGAGACAGGTTTTCCCTCGAGGGCAGTCTCTCCTATGGAAGACACTGTGTGGCAGATAACCTGACAGAATAACTTTGAACACTTGTCTGATGTAAGCACACCCAAAAGCCCTGCAGGGAAGCAGAGCATTTAGCAGGATTGCTATATCTGGAAAGGAAATCTGACGTGTTAAATTCCACCTTTTCGACGATTCACACCGTAGCTTCTTAGCAGGATGCAGGAGAAAGGGTGAAATTCATTTTGAATGAATAAGACATGGCTTGAATGAAATACTCTGCGATTGGTTTTGTGCGTGTGTGTTTAATTGCTTCCTATTCATGCCTTGAAACTAAAATATGACCAGAATTTGTAACTATCTATTAGAAGAGATTGGGAGTAATTGTTAGAGGAATCTTCCTGTTTTGACACTGTGCTATTATCATTTCAACTCTTGTGTTGGTTGCAGAAGCGGGTGGGTGTGTTGTTTGTGGTGTAGTTTCATAAGTCACTTTCTAATTACAACTATCCAGGCAGAAAGGGAGGGGGGTAATGTATAGATTGCTAGAGCATGGGGGATAAAATACAAATGAATCCTGATTTAGACCATAAAACATAATGATTAAGAGAAGAACCTCCATGCCTATATTTTCTAAGAAACCACATAATGTATTTTCCATTCAGGAGAGGAGACGTATTCAAAAGCAGCCAGGACCACAGGTGCTAAGCTGTTTGTATTTTCAGGTGAAAAGAATCTGAAGAATGATTGTTTCCATTAAAATCAATGCTTTTCAAAACAAACAAAAAACAAAAAACAATTTTAACTTATAGTGAGAACAGAGCTGGCTAACAGGTAGAGATGCTTGAAGAATCTAATCCTTGCAAATTCCAATGCAAAACTCACCTAACCCAAACCTTCTGGATGAATGTGCCAACTGGAATGTCACTGCCTATTGAATTTCACACATCTCTAAATGTTCAGATGCAGTTCTCAGATCAAGATCGTTTTTAATAATAAAATAATAATATGGATACATAGATATATATTTTGAAATAATAGAAATGGACAAAGGAGTGTCCTGCAGCAGCCATGATTGGCGTCCCAATCCTGCCTGGTCCATAGTGTTCTCTGTAGGGAAGCCACTTGCAAAGGAGCACCATGAGCCACACAGGAATGACTCTCGACAGCAGAGGTCCTGCTCCTGCTCCTTTGCGAACAGCTTTCTCAGAAAGGAGACTCGGGAGATGGGCTTCTACCTTCTCTCAGCAGTCAGGGTAGTCCTGCTTCTTTTCACAAGGTTTTCCCACCCAAGGCCTGCCTCTCCTTCCTGCCTGACACCCTACCCCCTGACAGCCACAGATTACTCAGGGAGCTCATCCTACACTCGAGTAGGACCCTGGCAGAGACACATGCCCGACTGGCATTTTCCCTCCCTCCTGGTCGATCGTTCAGGAGCTACAAAAACTTTCTTCTACCCGAACATCACAGTGACCAATGCCAACAGACATCGGCACACTTAGGGATCCACAGAGTCTTTGCAGCTTGAGTAACAGACCTCAGCAACTCAGCATTTTGGCTAATCTACTTTATTTACATATAAACACACACGGAGCACTGCAACATGGCTCCCTCTCTCTAGCATCAGACAGCAAAGAGAAAGAACAAAGGACAATAGTCCCACTTCACAGAACACAGTAACACAATCATCCTGTCTCCATCACTTCCCACTCTGTGGAGTTAAAACATATACCGTCATGTGATAGACAACAATCCCATGACTGCAATCATGGAGCAGGAATTCTAACACCAACCTGACTGGTACTGAACTTGGCTGTGTTTCCCCAACTCATCCAACCCCCCAACCCCTCTGAATATGCTAGATTTGGCTCAGGACCCTGCTGAATCTGGTGCACACGTTCCTGTTAATTACACTGTGATACTTATCACGAGCCAGGAAAAAGGAAAAGAAGATAGCCTCCCATTCCTGTGCACTGCACAGTGATCTCAAAAAAAAAAAAAAAAAATGTGGTCCACACACATCAAATGGGAAAGAGAGACATACTAGCATACTGCGCATTAAATATAATGGGCAGTTTAACCCTGAAACTGTTTGATGGGACAAGACAGATACGACGGCCAATGCTTTTAAGCTGAAAAGAGAAGCACTCTTCACATAAAGTCTTGCTTGGCCTGGATATCAGCTGCCTGTTGCCATGATCAGTTTCATTTGGTCAGCACCAATCGCTAAAGGATGTCGCTGATCATGTGCAATAAAGCAGTATTAGGTCCTGAGCACATCTGGGATTAAGCCATGGACTCGACTCCTTTACTGAGAACTCATTTTTGCCAGTCAGGTCTGATTAAAGGCTGAAGAAACCAATTTCAGCCCACTTTACTTTTCTGTGTTTCTCATTGTTTATTTCATTAGGACGGTGTCTGGCCCTGGGACTCTGGCGCTGCCTAGCAGGAGATGCCACGGGCTCATCCCTTCAGTGATTGATTGCACTGACTGCAAAGCAGTATTGAAAACAGCCTCTCAGTTAAGTCGCATTTGTCAGACTTCTCTGCAAAATTCCTGCATCAGAAGCTCTGTGGAGGAATGCAGGTAAAGAAATGAATTAGAAATGTTTGGGAACAGCAGAATGAGAATGAGAATACTGACATTTGGTTGAGAGTGGTGGCATTTGGTGCCAAAAATACACCCCTCAACAAAACCCTACATCAGAATGTCCTTCGTTGTCTCTCTCTCTCCAGCGAGAGAGAAGCCAATCAGGAAACACATAGTGAGTGAGATAATATATCTACATAATCAATCATATCTGTTTATGCAAAGAAATGGAGGATCACACTGTTTCCTGTGTGAATGGGATGATGCTCCTTCTGCTTTGCTGCCATAGTTTCATTGCTTCTGGATCTCTGGACAGCAAGTGGCTGTTCTCAGTGAAGAAGCTTCCAGCTCAGCAATGACATCATTTCCCCAGGCTGGCCATTGGATCTTTCTGGGCAGAAAGGAGTAAAGGCTTCCTGGTGCAGCTGAGCCTTCCTTGAGCAGCTCCTCGACTTATGTAGGGTCCTTGGTGGTTTAGAACCATGATCTTCCTGGGTTCTAAATCATGCTGGAAGCCTCCATGAGTGAAGAAGGCTTCCCACAAAGAGGCTGTGTGGAGAACAACAAAATCAGTCATAGGGGACAGTGCCAAGGAGCATGCCCTCACTTCCCTCACCAATCATGTGACTGGAATCATGTGTGGGGCAACACCTAAAAAGTTCTTCATATGATGCATGAGGCTTGTGGCCATTGGGCTGTATCCAACTAAGTAATACTAATTGAAATTAATAGAGCTAAGTTAAGTATGTCCATTGATATCACTGAGCCTACTCTGAGTTGAAATTAACTGGATACTGCCAATTGTCAATACTACTACTACTACTACTAATAATAATAATAATATCCCGCACATCTGGGTGGGTTGCCCCAGTCATTCTGGGCAGCTTACAGCACATATAAAAACATAATAAAACATCAAACATAAAAACTTTCTGATACAGGGCTGCCTTCAGATGTCTTCTAAAAGTTGTGTAGTTGTTTATTTCCTTGACATCTGATGGGAGAGCGTTCCACAGGGCGGGCACCACTACCAAGACGGCCTTCTGCCTGGTTCCCTGTAACTTCACTTCTTGCAGTGAGGGAACCACCAGAAGCCACTCAGAGCTGGACCTCAGGCTGAACAATGGGGGTAGAGATACTCCTTCAGGTATACAGGGCCAAAGCCATGTAGGGCTTTAAAGATCAACACCAACACTTTGAACTGTGCTTGGAAACATACTGGGAGCCAGTGAAATGAATACATGCTGGTGGATAGACTTTTGCCAAGAACTCTTTCTGCAGTTGGCTCTCTCTCATGTCCTTTCTCTGTGGGTCATTCTTGGGGCTCTGCCTGATGCCTATCCTGCCAGTGTAGCCGCTGATGAGTACATCCCATCTTTTCTCTTCACAGCTAAGGAGAAGAGATAATGTTGCACCTAGCTATGAGATACTCATGAAGAGCAAATAGAATCATGCTGTCAACATTGGTTTGTATCCCATGCTTGTCCTGCTTAGAGTAAATGCACTGAATTTCATTACCATGACTAACTTAGGTCCATTAACTTCAATAGGCCTACTCGTAGGACTAACATTAGATTCAACCCATGGTTTTTAAAAATAATTTGTACCGATGCAGGGGAAAAAAATCATCTGAGCAAACTGAGCTGCTAGACCAATGATGTCCAATTCAAATGCTGTGCTAGGACATATTTAGGCAAGTCGATACAATATGTGAAAATTTGGTTACTGTACCCAGATGTTCTCAGCAGTCCTTTTGAGGACAGACTTTGTTCTTTGTGAACTAGTACTTGGATAGACCACCAAAGCTTCCATATGCTGACCTACTCTAAAAAAAGCTAAACATGAAAGTCAATCTTCTTCTGGGTTGACCACTTTATTTATAGTACTTAGTTCAGCCTGGAGTCTTCTCTTAATATAATAAGCTCTGGTCATATTTCAGACACCTGTCTCTATCCACTTAAAGCAGCCTTTGCCTGATGGACACTAAATAGGTTATTTGCTGCAGTGCTTTTGCTGACAGTAATAGATATGGACAGGAGCATCCTTTATGAGGCAAGATTGAAGTTTTGGTCCCACCAGATTTGAGATGGAGACTTGCCACAGCTCAGATTCCACCATTGCTATTAAGAATTAAGAGAGATTTCAGCAGCCAGATGGTTAGGGAGAATATTGAGTTTCATGTGCACTTCTTAAGATTAGTGATTTGTGGAAGTGGATGCTGTTACCTACACTTTATCTGTGAAGTGAAGGTAATGCTCAATGACACAAGGCCAAAACGTGTCTTATATAATGTGTTTTGTTTTATTGTGACTGTCATTATCCCCATCCTAATTTGTCCCATGAAAGTTTACAGTTTCACTTCCAGATGCTGCAGCCTAAATAGGATGCTATTGCATCCTACAATGATTTTTGAGACAATGGAGTGATTGTAATTCCTCTACTGTGTCAATATGAACCTATGCAGAGGTGGAAATTATCTGGAACATACCTATAGCTCCGGATGTAAAAGCAAATACTGTATGTCAATATGGAATTTATGCAATGACGTATCTAAGCCAGCGTTTCCCAGTCTTCTGAGTCTCAAGGCATACTTTATTTCTCTGAATTAAACCAGAGGTACACGTTAAAAGCTTTAGACGGCACAGGAGTAATAATTACTGGTCCTCACCCAAAGGGTCATCTAGTCCACCCCCTTCAATGTATTGTCTGTCTCCATTTGCCATCTCGAATCCCTACTCTTCATGGAGCAACAAGAGATATCTCTAGGGTCATTCATTGCCCAGATTTTTTTCTTCTGCTTTGTTTCGATCCATGGATGGTTTTCGTTCTCTGCTGCTACAGAAGTGGAACAGTTTTAACAGAAATTTGATTTAGTCTTAATTTTAAAGGCAAACACTCTGAATTTGCACTTTCCAAAACAACAAAAGAACCCAAATACAGCTGCTTTGGATGTCATTAGACTACCACTCTCATCATCCCTGACCATTGGCCATGATTGCTGGGGCAGATTGGAAGTTGCGGGTATAACAACGTATGGAGAGCTGTAGGTTCCTCACTCCTGGTTCAGCCAGTACTTCTGGAGCTCACAGACATGGTCTGAAGACAACAGTCAGTAACTGGTACCAAGAGACATGATAATGGCACAATCCTATAGATGTCTACTCGATGTATAGCCCCATAAAGTTAAATAGAGCTAATTCCCCAATAGATGGGTATCAGATTGCAGCCTAAATCACTAAAATAAAAGAGGTTTTCCCTCTTTGTGCTCCCTCACCATTCAAATGATTCTTCTTCAGGTAAAAAAATAATAATGCACAAGCTCTAACCTATAATATGCTAACATTATATAAATACGCACATGCACTTATACAGTTTATGACTTCATAGAAGAGTGCAGCTTCGAGCCTTAATAGGCAGTGGTATGAGTCTCCTGGAAGAATAACATTAGTAAAATGTCATTATGTAGCTGTAGATGATAAACAGGGACTTCTTGAAGTCATATCCAATGCATTGTGCAGACAGAAACAAAACTGTTTATATACCCACATGCGGCATTTTAAATACGTGTCTGACTTTCATTTTCCAAAATGCTCTCATTTCACACATCAAGGCTGCAATTGCCTGCACATATCTGCTCAGAAGTAAACCCCATTGTGTTCAATGGGGCTTACTCTCAGGTAAGTAAGCATTGGACTGCAGCCTTATACACTATAATTATACTAAGGCAAACAACAAATAAAAACCTTCATTTTCTAGGAACAATCATCTTATTACCATAGATGTGTGCGAGAACTGTAAAATTGATTTGCCAAGATCTGTTCAACCTTCCTTTAAAGGACACAGGAGATTTTCTTCGACAAGAGCACGGCACGAGGTCACATTTGTTGGTATTAACTTACTTCCTTGTTGTGTGTATGATGGATCCATCCCTTAATCCTAGCCAGGATCCTGGAAGACTCTGATTTACAAACTAGTTTATCCCAGGTCTTCATGTGGATTAGCAAGATAACATGCATTCTGGGATGAAGACCCAGATAGTACTTTTGCTGTATGTCTGCATAGAACCAGAGAAATGAAAGCTGAAAGCTGAAAGCCTCTGATGTCTAATCTCAGAAAGCTCCTGTATACAAGTACATTAACACATCATTATTGCAACCACAACAATGCCATTGGAATGATGCTGATATAGTGCAGCCTTTGTAAACCAGAGACCCTCCAGATGTTTCAGCTATGTCTCCCATCATCCATGCTGGTTGGGGCTGTTCAGATCTGTAATGCTTTAGCATCTGTAGGGCACCAGGTTGGGGAAAACCAACAGAATGACAAATATGTACATTTATATGCACATTTCTCTCTTACATTCACTTTTTTCCATTCAGGTGTTGGGGGACTGCATGGCAAAAAACTGGGACATGGGTGGTGCTGTGGGTTAAACCACTGAGCCTCTTGGGCTTGCCGATCCGAAGGTTGACGGTTTGAATCCCCGCAACGGGGTGAGCTTCCGTTGCTCAGTCCCAGCTCCTGCAGTTTGAAAGCACGTCAAAGTGAAAGTAGATAAATAGGTACTGCTCCAGCGGGAAGGTAAACGGCGTTTCCGTGCGCTGCTCTGGTTCGCCAGAAGCGGCTTAAGTCATGCTGGCCACATGACCCGGAAGCTGTACGCTGGCTCCCTTGGCCAATAAAGCAAGATGAGCGCTGCAACCCCAGAGTCGGTCACGACTGGACCTAATGGTCAGGGGTCCCTTTACCTTTACCTTTACGGCAAAAACTGGAGAAGGGTGAATTCCATTGCATTGCTGTGTTTCATTTCTTGCATTGATTGTGTGAATTTGAGAAGCTCGCATAACGAACTGAACCCAGTTTCTCCCCCAACCCTTCTCTCCTGTTCTTATAACACTGGGGGAGCCATTCACCCTCCCCCTATGCTTGAAGTAGATTCACCAGAGACCAGCCACTGCCATCTTTAAAAAGGGACATTAAAAGACACAGCATGGTAA